GACAGTCTAATTATTGGTGACAGAAACTTTCACAGACACACACAGCGATTACTTTGACACATTGGTAGCTTAGTTAATGTGTTAATGATGGGAAGGTACGATGTTCCGTTTCTCGCTAATACATCTCTGTCTCGTAAGATCAACCGAAGATACGGCCCAAATTATGGAGTCCTGATAGGGGAGGTAAACATGAGAAAGCGAAAAGGACTGCTGCTGCTGCTACTACTACTGCTACTACAGCAGCTGCTGCTAATACTATTACTGCTGCTATTGCTACTACTACTGCTGCAGCTGCTGCTACTACCACTACAACTGCAGCCATTGCTACTGCCTCCCCGTGCTTCCTGCACCTTGAGTTCAGGATTAATAGATACCAATATCAAAATCAGCTGAATTCAAGTAATAATTAGTCAGATTTACCGGTTTATTTGTGCTTATTGAAAAACATCTAGCTGAGCGGTATCCTGGAATGTGAAAAGCTTTGGAGCGATTACTTTCTTTAGTTTTTTGATAACTCATCATTTCGATAGGTAATCGGATTCGTTCAAGCAAAATAGCTAGCGACAAAATAGAATATTTAGAGAAATCCTCGGTTTTTATGTCGATTGGTAAGTCTGCGGTGGACTAGAAGTATGCTGATTAGTGGATAACTTAATTATAGGTAGCTCAACATCCTAGTTTTTGTTCTGTCAAAAATACGTACATTGCTTACTCATTTGTTCATTGAACACATCGTAAGTTCCACCCTCAAAAACTCATATTTCTTCTAGGAGTGGTTTTTTTTTTCTCAGGACCACTTAAAACTACGGTGACCATTTTCTCGACCCCTCTCTTGTTCTACATAGAAAATTCAAAAAGGAATTTTGATGCTGTCTGTGTGTTCACTTTCACTCCATTACCACTTGTAATGGGAATAGATCTTCACATTTGCCTCAGTCACTCAATCATTTTGTTAAACGGCGATGAAAATCCATTGGATAGTGTCTGTAAAACTTTCCCTTCCATCAACAGCAACGTTTCTCTGTTTTTCTGGATATGTTACAATCGCAGCACTGTGCAATAAAAAATGTAACTTACAAACTCCTGGGGTCTAGAATTGATCAGGATCGTCCTGGTAGCTTTATCTTATTCTCAATGGTCGGATATACTATAAAGCTACGGTTTTTTCTAGCAACTACAAAAATAATGATAATACCAAGAATAACAATATTGTTAATAATAACAATAATAACAGTGATAATAATAACAACAACAGTAATAATGAAGAGAATACGATGAAAGAGACTTATTATTGTGAAAAAATGATCTGTTGATTTGTAAAGCACTAGAAACTGCATGAAGCAAGCCATAAACTGCAAAAGGCGTTAAATTACCCAGCAGCACCACCGTCTGGAAATATGGAACTTAGATACTCATTTTTATTTATATTAACTGAAGAAAACTTCAAAGTTAGCCTACTGTAATTCTAAAATTCCACTCAGTCATGTGTTTCACGTTTCAGGCGGATTTTTCCAGCATTCAAGGTGAAGCTATCCGGTTTGGATAAACGCTCCAAGTATATTTTATTAATGGATATTGTGCCCGCTGATGAATGTCGCTATAAGTTCCATAACTCACGATGGATGGTGGCTGGTAAAGCGGATCCGGAAATGCCAAAACGTATGTACATACATCCGGATAGTCCAGCTACCGGTGAGCACTGGATGGCCAAAGGAGCGAATTTTCACAAGTTGAAACTGACCAACAATATCTCGGATAAACATGGCTTTGTAAGTTTTTCCTTTGTTTTGTGTCGCTTAGTAGCCCAGCTTTTTGCAAAATGTTTCGAATTTCTGCAGTTTCAATAACGCAAATTGTGTCTTTTTTGCTTCACTCTTTCAGATTTGACGTGCCACCTAGTGTATCAAAACATCCTGCTTAAGTTTCATTGTAAAATTATATGTAAAATTGTTTTGATATAATTTAAGTAACAATTTTTTGGTAGATTTCTAACGAAATTCATCTTTTTTCGTCCATAAAAATTTTTGCGTTTTAATTTTTTAATTTCTTTTTCCAACAAAATTTCTTGATTCTTAACTTCAACATTATTCCTAAATTTAGGAACATTATTTTTAAACTGTTTGTTACTTGGCAACTTCAGTACTTTCATCATCTGAAAAATTTTTATATTGTAATTTATAGTAATTCGAAGTTAAAGCCATTGGAATTTGCTGAAAGTTAGAAAAGTTCAATCGTTAAGATTTTTTTGCCTCGCTCCTGAGGTAACACTAAGTGAATATTTCTTTCCCATGTACTGAAATGGCTAATTTGC